CAGAGTTATATCAGGTTGCTCTAGGCCTGAACTTGTGGGTTTGGGATTGTTTTTCTTTCCTTTCCCTGGGATTGTGTGTTGGGAATTGCCCCTGGTCTGAGCTCCGCTGGAGCACTGTGCAAGCCCATACATCTTCAGGGAGCTCAGGCTTGTCAACACACAGATGTTTCCTCCCAGGATCCCTCTTTGAAGGAGAATGGGGATTTCCTGCAGTTTGAAAATGGGAAGTCATTTTCCTCTATTGAGCAAGGCAGAATTTGCCTCAGGGTCAAGTCATCGTGGATTGAACTGATGTGTGTTACTCCCTGTTACCCCACTTTGCTACATAAAACTCCATTTGGCTTTTTTCCCACCACTGGAACAGAATCACAATGCCAAGGGCTTTTCCAAAGGAACAGAATGAGTTGGACTGCTGCTAACTTGATCAAGAAGACGACGAAAGATAAGAAAAAGAGAACAGTCAGAAGAGGTGGAGTGGGAGAAGCACTCACCAGCTCCCTGCTGGCTGTGCTGCTCTGTTCTGAGCTGGCCCAGCCAGACAGAAAGTGTCAGAGCTCTGACAGGCTGCTGCTCTTCTTCATGTGCAGCCTCCAGGATGTCTGACCCAGGTGTCCTCTTCAGACCTGCTTCCAGACCATCAGGGGACGGCAGCACACAGATGAAACAGTATTTCCTGGTCAGGGTTGTGGTGCTCTGGGGTGGCTCTCTGGCCCACACAGATTGTCCTCTTCTTGGCATCCCTGGCTCAGTGCCCATGGATGCAGGGGAAGAAGCACAGAGAATGGTCAGGTTTGTGTGCTCTGACCTATGTCAGTGCTGCTCTCTTGGATTAGGGGAGTTAAACCCAGAGATCTGTTGTTATTCCACGTGCTTGCCTTTGCTATCTCTCTCTCTCATCTCTCTTTGGTGCTCAAGAGCACCAGTGCCCTTTCTGCATTTTCTGCTCAGTTCTGTTTCTTCTCTGCTGTGCATTTATCAGGAGAATTCCATCCCTGTGTTTCTGCAGGCAGCAGACAAAAACCATCCCTTGTCTGTAGAACCAGACCTGTTGGGTGGTTGGCTCTTCAATGTTCCCCTGCTGCACGGAATTCTGATCTGATTTCGTAGGAAATCTCGTGGGAGAGAAGAGCTTGTGCTGTTGGATTTTAATGTTTTGCAAGACACTTTGATCCCTTTTCCAGGCATCCAATACAGATGGAGGAGGATTTCACTGGGGTCACACGTTCACTGCTCACATTGTTCAGGTTTCCTGTTTCCTCGAGCATGTGTTGCAGACATCCTTTCTGGGTCCAGACTTGCCTGTCCACCACCATGGTGACAGCAGCTGGTGACACTTCCAGCAGTGACAGTGAGGGGAGTGGCTTGAACGTTTCTGAGCTCAAAGGCACTGTGGGACTTGGAAGGTTTAGAAAGCAGAAGGGACTGCAAGCCCACCCAGCCTGAGCTGGGGCAGGGGTGTCAGGGTCCTGCCTTTTCCTCTTTATTGGAATACAGCAGAACTTCTAGAAAGCGGCACTTAATCTTGATGGAGGAACCACAAGAAGTGCACAGCTCCCTGGTAAGCCTTGATTCTTATCCTCATGATTGGCAGATTTCTTTCAAGCTCAGCTTTTCTTCAACTTCCAGTCCCTGCCTGCTCCTGCTCCTCTCTGCTGGCTTGCAATGCTCTCTGCTGACAGGGAACCTTCTCTCCATGCAGACATCTTCTGTTGTGATTTACTGTTCTCAGAAATTATCCTGGCAATAATTCCCCTAAAATAGGAAGAAGAAATCAAAGTAACAGTCCAGTCTTGCTGATCTAAGGAAGAGCTGCATCTACACATGGGTACCTCTAAGCACTTTCCTTTTTCCATGTGGCTGGAACAGGGGTGCCCTGATGGGAGCTGGGTTTGGGAGAGCTCTGAAGCCTGTCTGGCTGCTGTGCCAGATGTGGAGCTGTGCCAGATGTGGAGCTGGCCTCTTGGGACACTGCCTGCCAGTTGTCTGTGCTCCCTGTGCAGTCCCATGTCCTTGCTGTGTCCCAGCAGCAGGATTGCCTGTCATCACTTGCCACAGTAACCAAGACTTCTCCCACAGAGGTGTGCAAACACGGTCCTGGTTTAACTGTGCTCATGAAAGAAGAAGGGACTGCAGATGGCCTGGCTGGAACAGGCTTGTGTCTGCTGAGAAAAACAGAGCACAAAAATCTCCCCTTTTCCTCAGACAACCTGTTTTGGCAGAAGAGGGACGATGTGCTACCCACAATGGCCTCTCTGGCACTCTCATTTCTAACAGGATGGCTTGCTGAGTGTGCCTAAACTAGGAGGTTCTTAATCTGTTGTGCACTATAATGCCCAGGCCCATGTGCTTCTATCCCAGATCTCATCTCACACTATCTATATCAGAGCATCCTGGGCTCCTACATGAGGAGAATAGGGCTTGTAGTGGTATGGCAGGGGGGAATGGCTTTAAACTGAGAGAAAGTAGATTGAGATTATGACATTACGAAGAAATTCTTTACTGTGGGAGTGGTGAGGCCCTGGCACAGGCTGCCCAGAGAAGTTGTGGCTGCCCCTGGAGCCCTGGAAGTGTCCCAGACCAGGGCTTGGAGCTTGGGATAGTGGAAAGTGTCCCTACCCATGGCAGGGGGGATGAATGAGATGATCTTTAAGGTCCCTTCCAATCCAAACCAGTTGGTGATTCCGTGATTCTGTGAGGGGAGAGTGGTTAGGAAACGTGTATGAAGTCAAGTTTTGTTTTTTCTTCAGTTCCTCCCCTATGGCATTTTCAGTTCCTCTTTCCCCCTAAAGCTGCTGTAGAAGTCAGAGTCCAAGTGTTGTTGGGAGGGGATTGTACTGGGACCAGTTAGGGGCTCTAACACAGAAATGGTCCCATCATTCCATGGATCTTCCTCTGCACTCTCCGTGGGGGAATGAGTCCTGCCTAATAGTGAGCTGAGTCAAATTCCTGTCTAAAACAAAGAGAAGAGATCCACACATGCTCCACGCTGCCTTGGTTTCAGCTGAGGTACAGTTCGTTTTCTTCCTAGCAGCTGGTACAGTGCTGGGTTTGGATTCAGTGTGAGAATAATGTTGATAACATCCTGATGTTTTAGTTTAGCTCAGAAATGCTCACCCTAAATGGAGGACTCATCAGTGTCCTGTGCTGTGCCAGCAAGGGGCTGCAGAACGAGCCAGGAGGGAGCAAGGCCAGGACAGCTGACCCACACTGTCCAAAAGGATATTCCACAGCACAGAACGTCATGCCCAGTGTGTAAACTGGGGGAGCTGGCTAGGAGGGGCAGAATGCTGCTCAGGGAAGGGCTGGGTATGGGTGTTCAATTGTACTGTTCATCATTTGTCCTTCTTGGGTTTTATTCCTCTTTCTTTTTGTTTCCTCATGTTTGTTATTATCATCATTATCGTTATTATTATCATTATCTTTTACTTTATGTCAGTGATCAAACTGTTCTCCCCTCACAAAGTTTACTTTTTTTTCTGATTCTCCTCCCTCTCCCAGTGGTGGGAGGCAGGGAGTGGGTGGCTGTGTAGTGCTGAGTTGCTGGCTGGAGTTAAACCACAATACATGCACATAAAAGCAAACTGTTTCCTCATTGTTTGCAAGAACTTCAGCATTTGGCAGTGCTGAGGTTCCCTCTTGACTGTCATTGATAGAGACTGCAGTGCTCACAGCACTTCTTGATTGGCAAAATCAGAAGCAAAAGTAGAAATATTAGTAACCAAAAACAGAATTAGCAACAGCAAAACATGATGCTTTTATGATTTTTGAAGTGATGCACATTTTGGCAGGGACTACTGCTGAAACACTGGGTCAGCTTTGCTTTTTATACTGTTTCCATCCAACATTTGCTGGTCTTTACTGTACACCATCCTCATCTGTCTCTTGGCATAGCCTTTGTTTCAGAATGCAGCCATGGCACTCACCTATGAAAGACCTCTGCTTTTCCTGCAGTCCAGCAGAGAGACATGAAGCACATTGAAAATGTGACTGAAAGGATGTTGGGGCAATTGAGAGCTTGCCTTAAGCAAACTGCTAATGTCTGTCCTTGCAGGGCTCTGGTGCTAACTGTGCAAAGTAGAGGAATACCATGGGCTCCTAAAGTGATCTGAGCTTAATGGTGACCTGCTTGGCACATGGAATCACTGTAGAATCAAATTGAGGAGAAGGGGTAGTGGGAATGGAGGGACTTCAGTTCCAGAAGGGAAAGAAAGTGTTGAGTACAGAAACGGTGAGCGTGCAGCAAAATTGTGTGAATCTGGATCTTCTGAAACAGAACCCTGGGCTGGATTACCCCAGAGTCCTCTTTATGAGGTTTTCATGCACAGCACAAGTAGTCTGGTGTCTCTTTGTTATTTTCAAGGCCAGATATCTGTGAAGGGAGTATGAGGGAACCAACCTGCTGCTGTGTCCTTCCAGAGCTGGTGCACTCCCACACTGCAGAGTTTCCTTTTCTTCAGTGTGCTTTTGCAAAAAGTAACAGGGAACCATTCTTCCCATGGTGGAGGAGCTGTCCCAGGATTTGTTCCAACTCTGTGCCATCCAGTGGAGTTTCCTGGGAGAGAGTCTGGTTTTGTGGTTCAGGTGATGGTGCCTCTGTAAACTAAATTGTGACAGCACCTCCATGATCAGTGCTTTTTTCTCCCCATGGGAAGGTAAAGGAGGGCCAGGTGCCTGCTTCTCTTTCTCAGACATTTGATCAGTTTATGCTTTGCATTTTTCTGCTCAGCCAGAGTAATTTTCTTGGACAGCTCCACGTGCTCTTGGGACATTAAATACAGAGGGGTTCATTTCTGTCCCAAAGGGTGATTTCTCCAGGGCAACCTTCATCCTTCTACATGAAGCTAGCACAGATGAAGGGAGGAATGGACTGAAATTCTTTGGGTCTATTGGAATCTGTAGAATGCCAAACCACATCATTTCCTTCCAGCTGTGTATCTGGTTAGACTTTACATTACCTCGATATTGACTTAATAGGTTGTTTCTTTTTTTTCTTTTCTCAGCAGAAACCACGAAAGGCAACTCCTCAGCCAGGAGAGGACACCTTGAACGGCCACCTTCCCCCTGGCTGGCAGAGCTACATGTCTCCCCAGGGTCGCAGGTACTACGTGAACACCTTCACAAATGGTAAGTGGGGGTGGCTTTCCAGTACATGTTTCACCATAGCAGCACAGATCTGTTTCAGGAAATCATCTTGCTAGTTGATTTGGATAACAAAAGTAGCTGCAGTGCCAAAGTAATTGATATGATCCTGACACTATATGAAAGAAAATACAAGAAGATTATGATAGTCTTTCATCTTAATTCTGATCATCAGAAGATGTCTGAAACGTTGACAAAAGACAGAGAATGTAAAGTAGAAATGCCCCATCATAAGTGTTTTAGAATATGAAACACTGTAAAAGATACAGTTTTTACCACATTCCCTATTTCCTTTGCCTGGAGATATTTATGTCTATATATATACATACATGTAAAGTAGTTTGATAGAGCATCAGGTATCACTAAATCACTATTGGGGAAAAAAGAAACAGTGAACTGGCCAGACTCAGCTTGTCCATGGAGACAAGAAAAGACAAACAGATGTAATGGGACAACACAGACAAAGCTTTCAGTCTGTATTTGTGTGTTCTATTCACTGTCGTGTTGGGAAGCAGACCTAACTCATGATCTTATCACCTGCTCAAGACCTGCCAAACTTGTACCACCTCCAGTTTACCTGAGGCTCTGTATTGACCTGCTCTTCTCATCATGAGCTCACAGCAGCATTGCAAAACAGGGTCTTGTGACCAGCAAATCCACATTTCTTTAGCAAAGAGAATGCTAGAGTGGCATGAAGGAGAGAACAGTAGGAGCTGTTCACAGGGAAGTTGCAGCCATCAGGAGTGACCTCTGGCATTCCTTTGTCTGACAAAGGAGAGCCATGGGCACCTCATGGTCTGTTCAGGGGCTGATGTATTTTATTTCAAGAAGCTTTTGGCCCAGAACTTTGCCAAATCATTATTTAGTGGAGTTTGATGCACTCTCATCTTACAGGACCCTCTTTCCAGAAGGTGCATTTCCATTTAACCCTGCCTCCATCTGCAAGCAGAGTTTTCTCTTGCTGGTGGGCAGCATCCCCTGCACAGCTGGGGAGATATCAGGAGTTAGATACCCCATCCCCACTGCAGTTCAAATGCAGGGGAGGAGGTGATTATCCTCAGTTCTGAGCCATCACTGGGATGCACCCATACTCACTGGGTTGAGGCCAGGTGAAAGGAGTAAGAGGCAGAGCCTGTTTCTTTTGTGGTAAGAGCTCTTGTCCCAGGGACCCTGCCTCAGAAAGGTGGGGGACTGCGACTGAATTTCTCCATAGTGTCAGGCAGTTTTGTACTTCCCTCCCAAAAGTTACAAGTAATATAACAAGGGCCAGTTGCCATATCCTGCCTGGGAGCTCAGGCCAGAAATCAGATTTCTGATTCCTCTAGGAAGGGAGGATAACTTTGGCACAGGCTGACCAGGGAGGCGGGGGAATCTTTGTCCTTGGAAAATCTCAGAAACTGGCTGGGCAGAGCTGTGGCTGATCTGTTGTTAGCAGTGATCCTGCTCAGAAAAACTGGGCTGAAGACTTCCAGAGGTCACTTCCAACCAATCTTTCTCAGGAGAATGCCCAAACCACCTGTGGTTGTGCTCTCAACTATTACAGTGTTGTGTGGCTCTCAGAATAACAGCATGCAAGAGAGGGTATAAGTGGGGTTTCTGTGTTCTGAGCCTTGCTTTAGGGATCATTTATTCAAGTTCTGTTTAGATGAGAATCTCTTCACCAGACTAATCCTAAGCCCAGTTAAGCACTTCCATCATTGAAAGGCTCTGGTGAGAGGAGGTGTGGGACTGTGGCTAAACATTTACCCAGCATCCAGGCAGGGTCTGGGGGTAGGGGAACTGTGTGAAGGAAGGCATTTCACTGATGGGCAAACAGGTCCTAAAAGCAACAAAGGCACTTTGAAAGCTGACCAAAGGGAAAACAAAGCAGGGACCATAGTTAAATTGCAATAAGCTGCTGCATAACTGTTTGCCAGCTCATCCTCAGAGCATGGTCATCAATGGTCCCTTGTGCAAGGGGGTTTGTACTGAAGGGAATCCTGCAGTGATCTGCCCGAGAATCCATTCTAGGCAGTATTTCCTGTGATGAATGGCAGGTTGACATTGAGAGCACTTACTCAAAAAATAACTTTTAACTGGAGCTGGGAGGGAACATGGCGTTCTCTCCTGCACAGAACAGGCTCAGAATTCACAATCACCCTGGAATAGGAGGATATTGTTCAGTAAAGATGCATTTAAGACAAGAATTAAGTGGCCAAAGCAGGCAATGGAACAGTTTACAGATGAAGACATTGGGGCTCTGGAGGATCTGAAGTTGAGTGAGAGCCAGCAGTGTTGTGTTAGTACAAACCAGCCAGCATTTTCCATTGTATAAATAGGAGTGTTGTCTGTGAGGCATGAAGTAAGCCTGCAACTTTACAAGGAAATTATAATGCTTCAGCTGGAATATTTTATCTTGTTTGGACTCTGTACTTCAGGAAATATGTGAGTCAGCTGGATAAAGCCCAGAAGAGAGTAGCAAAAGTGATGGAAGATGTGGAAAACATAGCCTGTGGGTAAATGCTGAGAGATTGGGGATGTCTGCCCTTAGAAAGCAAAGATGTGTGCAGGGTATTGAAAGCAGGCTTAAAGTGCATCAAATGCCATGTGGGAGAAGGCTGTTTGCAATGCCTGCCATCACCAGAAAATTTTGATTTCAATTTCCATTACTAGAGCACATTTCAGTTGCAACCAGGACAGCTAACCCTTCCAAGCTCTGTTGGAAGTGAAGTGTGGGAGTACAGAGTTGTCTGGGAGTCTGTATCACCAGAGCAGGTAATGCAAAACCATGAAAATTCATGGTTGGCTTTCTCTGGTGTAGAGCAGGGGCAGTATGACTTCCTGAAATCCTTGTGAGGCCTGTTTCTTTCAGTCTGTAAAGCCTAAATGACATGAAAAATATTTATCAAATAGAAACTGACCAATGCCTGGGATCAGTGGAAATTGTTCTTTATTTGGTGTCTTTGTACTTCCCCAACTTTTACAATCATCACGTCTAACCAGGCTCTTGTCACTCATCTGCTGGTTTGCTTCTTCTGGTTGTCTAAGTCAAAGAATCTTAATATAAGTTCAAAGGAGCATTTTATTTGTGCTTTTCATTTGCAGCTGTGTTGAATCTTCCTGCTGTGTTTTGGGGCAGGTCCTGCCCCTCCGTGGACTGTCCTGCCCTTGAGCTCTGCAGGGAAAGGCAGGATGAGCCAGGGATGTCACCAGGCAGAGCAGAGGGTGGGCTGCACACCACAGATCTGCTGGGATGGCTGCATGGCTGGCAGCATGGGCTGAGCCTTTGAAGAAGGTCAGCAAGCTAAAGCTCTACAAAATTTGATGTGGTGGAGCTCCATGCTGCTCCCCAGATGAACCCTGTGTGTAGTTCTGTGCCCTCCTCCTAAAGACAGGAGGTGTTGGGTGACCTGTTCAACAGCCTGTCTTTCTGACCATGCCTGCTGGTGCATCTTCTCTGACTCAGTGTAGATGTCTGGTTTTGGGTTAAATTGTTTTATTGCTCTTAGTGCTTGAACTGTTCAGAAGTGGTAACAGAAGTGTCCACACACGTTCCTTGGGAGGGGAAGTGGGATTTTAGGGTCAAGTAAAATCCTGATTTTTCTGAGCCTTCAAAATACAGAGATGCCTCCCTTCTTGTGAGGCATTACTGTTATTGTAACCGTTGTTTCCAGTGGTCAATGTCCTTCCACACTGGGATTATCTGCCTTTGTTGTACATCTCAACCCTGAGATGAGCTCAGCTGGTCAGAGCAGGGTGCTAATAATGCCAGGGCTGTGGGTTTAATCCCCATATGGGCCACTCACCTCAGAATCTGACTCCATAATCCTTCTGGGTCCCTTCCAACTCAGGCTATTTTGTGATTTTGTGATCTTATCTGACCGTAACAGTATTTCCACCATGTGTTGTTGTGTGGTCTAATTTTCATTGTCTTTACAGGAAAAAAACACAAGGAATTGGTTCTTGACTAGAAAGAAATAGAATATAAATGAGACAGTGTTCTTATGTGGAAGAAGAATGTTAGGAAAATCAGTAATGAAGGAATTGGGGTGACCCTGGAACAAACAGATGTGCAGAGATGACAAACAGCACATTCCTGTCTGTCTCCTCTTGATATCCCACCAGATAAACACTTCACATTTATCATCCTTTGAAGCAGGTTCAATCCCAAAACCACTGTAAGGGCCTCTGAGCTGGATACAGTCTGCACAATGAAGCCCACAAAAATTTTTCAAGGTGTACTCAAGGTTTCCTGAGCATGGTCTTGCCACAGGAAGGTTGAGTGTGCACCAGTGCCATTACAGCTGGGTGCCTGGCATCTGCCTTGTGCAACATCCAGAGACAGCCCTGCTTGCCATGGCAAAGCACAAGGCAGAGTGCCCAGAATGCACAGCCACTACGTGGTTAATGAGTTACTCAGTGTCTGTAGGAGGGGTTTTCAATTGTGTGTGGGTGGTAGATTCAGCAAGAAAATATTTCATTATGCTGAAGAAATTCTCTGATGGGCTGCAGCTGCAATACTTCTTGCATTAGTCAAACAATAGCACTCCAGCTACCTTGCCCATCACATTAAAAATGAATTATGTACTTGTGACACCAATGTTTGTATGGCTTACTGCCACCTTGTTTTCACAGCTGAGGTCAGCTTAACGTGGCTTGCTCTTATTTCCAGCCTTTTCCTGTCTTTTACCTAAGGTCCTTCCCATTTACTAAACAGCATTTTATCTCCTGGAAAGCGGGACTTCTACTTTCATGTTATCTTGATCCTAATTAAAGTCCTTATATTCTTATAATCACAAGCATCATTAGTGAAATGCCACCTGCAGCAGTAAGTTGTGGGGCAGTCCTGAAATGTGTAGCTGAAAGAGGTCATTTGCTTGAAAGGTGTCTGAGTTGAGGGGTTTTATTCACACCTCACCAGCTATGGTCAGCTCCTACTCCAACCAAACTTATGAACTGCAGCTCAAAGAGTAAGTCATCTATGGAGACACCAAAGAGATATCAAG